TGCGCGGTTCGTTTGGCTAGTGTGATCGCTCCGTGCGCGGTTCGTTTGGCTAGTGTGATCGCTCCGTGCGCGGTTCGTTTGGCTAGTGTGATCGCTCCGTGCGCGGTTCGTTTGGCTAGTGTGATCGCTCCGTGCGCGGTTCGTTTGGCTAGTGTGATCGCTCCGTGCGCAGTTCGTTTGGCCGTACCTGGCTCCCTTGGAAGAGGTGGGCCAGAGCACGATTCAGTCGGGCTCAGGCGCGGTACGCATGTATTGTGTTCGCTAACCCCGCCGGAGCACGGAACAGCTAGTGTTTTGTGTGCGCTAATATCATCATTACGACCGCACACATCTTCTATTACTACTACTCTAGTACACTTTTCAGTTAATTGAATTAAAACAAGTATATCTAGGTTTATAACGGGTCTGGTTCTCACCTTACCTGATGAACAGGAATTGTAGTTTACGAGTGAAGCTGCAAATTCTTTCATTAAAGTCAGCTGCTTCCGCAATGATCCTCTGATACATGCAAGAGAAATTCACTGCACGGCATTAATGATACATTTATTAGGCAGTCTATTATTGAAAGTGTTTTTTCCTGTTGTCTCGTACATGACATAAGCAAGCTCCTGTGGGGAGTGGGGAGGTGGATAATCTCGCTCGGGCTTGGTTCAAGGCAACTGTTCTAGTGTGACTGCACCCTTAAGCTGTTATTCAGTGGAGGCCAGCTAGTTTAGGGTAAATGTGAGGGTAGAATGGTCGAGCTGGATAAATGCAGTCACCACCACAATTTGTATAAAAATGGAGAGAATGCAGTGAAAATATGGGCTTCCCATCATTGCTGAGCCTCTTGAGGCCCCATTATACTCATAGCCAAGGTCTTTTTCATTGTTTGAAGAATTTAGAAATACCTCTGCAGCGATTATAATATTAATGAACACCCAGACTCCGTCCATGCTGCTGAAAGTGAATATTTGAATATTTGAACTTCATACAATACATGGCTTTACAGTAGTAAATATGAAAACATTGTCAGTGCTGCTTTCAGTTAGAATAACTTCAGTTCGTCCTGTAAAGCAGCTCTCCCGTGTGTTCATGTTTTTACTCCTGTGTTCACTTTGAGCTGTTTTAAGCTCCTAAAACAAACTTTGTTTTGGCCTGATTTAGTTCGAAATGACAGTTCGTTCTTTGATTTCTCTTAAAGTATATCGGGGCCTTTACAGAGTTTACCATGCTTTGCAAAGTAACAATTACTATGCAAAGTTTTTGTTTTCCTGTAGAGAGTTTACATTCTTATGGCTGTGTTACTCACCTTTTTCATTTGAATGAAAATGAAAGTCTTCATTTCTGAATGGTATAATGTTATTGACTGTATTTCTTGTTTTGAAGTTATAATTTCACGTATTTCTTTATTCTTTGTGTGAAGAGGTTTGTTTGTCCCTCAATACCAAAGCTCTAGAAGACCAGCAGGTAGATATCTTCACTTCTGACACTTTATTATATAGAGTCTCTGCACACAATTGCATGAATGTAAAGGGTACGTGTAGCTTTGCCACATGACTCTTTCACTCTCCAGCTATTGCACGTTTAAAGTGCTTCTGTACCCTTTATGTCATGCAGTGTCTAGCATTACAAGGTAACCGTGACTCCACTAAATCCCATAACTCTAGTACGTGTCCTGTGTTCAGGACCTTCCTAGTCCTCTTAACCACCCGTATGTATCCTAACTGGTGCTAACTTCATTTAATCAATTCTGTTTTCATGCTTTTATAAAACTGATGCATTTCAGCTGTGTAAACTCTCATTGTGATGTGTGTTGTGAAGAACATCGAGACGCTCTGATGCCGTTAACAGCCTCGTGTGAAATGTCTTGAGTAGATCAGATCCCATGTCCCAGTGGGATTTTGGACGCTCTTCACAGAGACGCTGCTTTCACAAGCAGTTGTCGGGTGCCATTCTTTGTGTCCCATACTGTTACGTAACGTGGCAGAACGGCACAGTTAGCACTTTCCTACCACAAAGAACTATTGTTGGTTTTATCCCAACTGTTTAGTTGCTCCTTTCCAATACATTGGCTCCCGTTGACGGGTGTAATTAGGGTATTTTGACCTTTTACTATGTTACCAAATCCTAACCCATAGTACTGCAGATCCTCTAATTGTTTAATCCATGTTTGTTGGGCAGGATGGAGGCCGAGCTTCAAGTACTACAACATGTGGGTGTCTCTGGCTGGGGCGATCCTGTGTTGTGTGGTTATGTTCATCATCAACTGGTGGGCGGCCCTCCTGACCAACGTCATCGTCTTGTCCCTCTACATCTACGTCAGCTACAAGAAACCAGGTGAAGTGGACAGGAAAATGAGACTCGTGAAGTCAGTTGTCTGTTCTTTAGCACAGTACTAATGATGGGATTTTTCTGGTTCATGAAATTGTTACGGTCCTACAGATGTGAACTGGGGTTCGTCCACTCAAGCGCTGACTTATCATCAGGCCCTGACACACAGTTTACAGCTTTGTGGAGTAGCCGACCACATCAAAACCTACAGGTAATATGGCCTCTGTCTGTGTGTGTGTGTGTGTGTGTGTGTGTGTGTGTGTGTGTGTGTGTGTGTGTGTGGGTGTGTGTGGTGACATTTACAGTGGCTTGCTCTAATGACTGCCGTGACTGTTTGCCAGAAGCACCTATTAGAACATGTGAAGCGTGACACATGTGTGTGTGTGTGTGTGTGTGTGTGTGTGTGTGTTGATTCACAGCTGTGAACTCTAAACATCTCTCATTTTTGTAGTGTTTCAGGGTTTTTTCTTTGTGATAGCTTGTTCTGATGTGTATGTGGAGCTCATTCATTTTCACTCTTGACAGCTGGAATACACTCCACCACTTTTACAATCACGCAGAATCACGCACCTCATAGCTCAGAGATTAATGTCAAATAGGATGATATTCTAAAATCCGCACCTATCGATATGTTTGGTTTCCTCGGACTGGCTCTGAAGCCCAATCGCACACCTGAAGGCTGTACTCATCACACATTCTGCGATTTTTCTGTGAAATCTGTAAACTTTCACTGCTCAAAATCTGCAGACCGGCTCTGACTTTAAGCAGCGAGCATAGACTCGTCCAGACTGCAAATCAGGCCAAAGTGTAGCATAATCCGGCATTTAGATGCTTAGAGATGATGTTCAGACAGACGTAGATCATAACTCACTGATTAATAATTACAAAGTTAAAATAAATAGTAATTTAACTAAATAAAAAAATAAAATAAAAGTGGTAAAAAATAAAAGTTGATGAATAGATGACAGGGTCGGTGTCGGTATGCACTAACAGCCAAAAATGCGTAATTATTCAGATTTTTTTGGTCAAAGTGCAGTTAAAAACACTAATATTATGACATATTATTAAAATGTAAAAGAACTGATATTTTACACTATATTTTTTCAAGGTTGTGTGCGGTACTTTTTTTTTTTTTTAGGATTCTTCAATTAATAGAAAGTTCAAAAGAATAGCATTTATTTGAAATAGAAATATTTTGCAACTTTAGAAATACTGTCACTTTTGATCAATTTAATGTGCCATTAATGAATAAACATATACATTTTTCTCCAAACTTTTGAATAATCATCTTCAATATCTTTGTCATTGAATGTTATACAAGACTTATATTTTTCTGTTTTTCTGTTGGAATCTTTCTTACTATTACTCTCTGTTGTTTAAACTGCTAAAATATAACTTAATTCTCACCATTCTAGATATCATACTATAGAGAACATTTCAGTATTCGGTACCAATACCAGTGAAAATCCGTGGTTCTCAAGTCAAGTCAAGTTGAGCTTTATTGTCATTCTGCTGCATGTGGGGACATACAGTGGAACGAAATGTCGTATCTTTGTCATTGAATGTTATACAAGACTTATATTTTTCTGTTTTTCTGTTGGAATCTTTCTTACTATTACTCTCTGTTGTTTAAACTGCTAAAATATAACTTAATTCTCACCATGTTTCTGATATTATATATAAAACTAATTTGCCATTGTTCGCTTTTAATCTAAACCGCTATCACGGCGCGTTAGCCTGTTAGCTTGTCATTCTTGTTTCCATTCGTGTTTATCGTTTCCTACCGTTTCTTTTTTTCTCTCTCGCTTTGTTTTTCACGCGTTCATCAAACAACTGTGGTAAGTCGGAATCATTCAGCAGTCACAGTAAGTAATGGCTTCTTCTCCTGCTATTGTTATTTGCACCGCTTTCCACATGTATAGTTTAGCTCTCTCTGTCGGCGACGAGGGATTCACATGTGATAAATGCAGGGAGATAGTTAGACTGACAGAAGATTTCAGAACTAGAGACACGCATCCAGACTTTAATTGTGGATAGTAAGAATGTGAGGGCTGTAGATACGGCTTTGGATGCGACTATCTCAGGGAGTCCTGTACATTGTTCGGTTCTGGTTACAATGCCTCTGCAGCAGGGCGACTGGGTGACTGTGAGGCGGCATAGTCGCGGGTCAAAGCACCGCTCT